TTTTTTACCTTTTACGTAATTAATATTGCATTTCCGCTGATTTCTTGGTGTTAATTGTACTTGCTTCAAATAATATTTACGAGGTGTAACAAATGTTCTCCACATAATTTATGAGTAGCCTATTCGATTTCTTCGCTTATATATTGTAATGTCAGCCGTTGTGAGTACTGTATAATGTAAGGTTCCTATGAGTTTCTCGGCGCCATTGTCAGTTCGGTCGATTTACGCGATAATTAAAGGCAGAGATTTTCTTTTAAAGAGCAGTCCAATCCAAACGTTTGTCAGCTTAGTTCACTTAAACAAAAGGAAGAGGCCTCGATTATATCAGTATCATACCCAACAACTCTAGTTGTTCATCTGAAGTGGCTTTGATCAATTTTTTACGTTATTTTTCTGTTTCTAGGGCATTTTCAAGCATTTTATTGATCTTTTTGTCAATGTTTTAAGTTATCTAAATCCGTCCCTAGCTATCAGCAATGATTAGTTGTGAATTATGTACGTAATTAGTGCCACGCAGTGCCTGCTCAGTGCACGTAAAATGGTGACTGTACTCTTTGCTGCAAATTAGTGAATTCTAATTACGAAACTTGTGCCTTTACGGCATTAAACTGTTTGTGTTAACTTTTCAATGACGAGTAGCATAACTTTCGACGTGTGTGCTAGAGCATATGACTACAAAGCTACCAATAATGACATCGATCACATATAAACTGGGGATTTTGGAACTCAAGAACATGTGCGCATTTTTTCTCCGACGCAGTTTTAACTGTTTTTTGACTAAATAAATCTAAATCTACTGTTTGTACTAGTTCATCATCACTCATGCTCTGCGCATGAGATTATTGCCTCGGCTACGCGCCGGCCAATCTCGCTCCGCGCCCACTACCGCTAGCGTAACGCCGGGATCATGATCCTGATCCCGCTCATCAGATCCACGAGCAGCGGCGTACCTGCACGCCGTCATCACATTTAACTTATTCAATAACGTCGTCACTGAAGTATCTACCCAAGTGATAGCAACTACATGTAATTTATAGGAATTTCCTGAATAGGAATGCATTGGATGCAGGAATTCAGCGCGAGTACTCACTTTGTAAGTACACGGGTATTGAGGTAACGAAGCTATTGAGGTAAGTGACCGAGTCGGTACTTATCATAGGCCACCCCCTCAACCAGTCCATCACCACCAAGTCAACTCCATCAGTTTTGGTCCTTCGAGCCGGATTCTTGTTCATAATCTATATTTGTGCAGGAGTCAAGACCCAGCAATTCTGCACGTATCTCATATTGTTTAGCTTAGTTTAAAATGTTAATTTGCCCGTGTTTAAGTAATTGTATTAACTTAAATGTACGTTACTGTTAGTTGTAATTTCAGGGACTCGGTCTTTTGTGTTAGCATCCTTAAGTTTACATTAGTCATTTCAGTGTCTGATTTCTCTGTTGGTATTAGGAAACTTAAGCTAGTCATTTGTTTCTTATTTCAGTGTTCTTAGTGTCTAACTTGTCTTAGCATTACGAAGTTTAGGTCATTTCTCTCAATTCCATTTCCAAGCACTATGACGTAAGTTGTCTATTTATCTACTTGCCGTCAATCTTAGAAAATCTGCGATTGTCAGGTCAACCCTCTCACTTTAAGTTGGATCTTTTATATCAGCATTCTGAGCTTGCCTTTCTGTTCCACAGTAAATCCCCCTACACGACTTTTCAAGTCAAACTGGCAGCCTCTGGGCTTCTTCTAACAGCGTTCCGCGCTCATTTCACTGCTCCGCAGAAAACACATTAGTCCACGGATCCATCACCCCTCTAATATATTTCTTTATATATCGCTTACACTTCCTACATCTCTCCGCGAGCGACTTTTGCCCTGGCAGTTTCTTCGACTTGCGAAGGCGCTCCACGCTTGTCTTCCATTACCTGGGAAGTTCTCCTTACCGCCCAGCGGGCTTCAAATGTCTTTAACGCTCCACCCTCTCTTAAAAATATGTCGGTATCAGTTCTACTTATCGCCTTAGTGCACCACATATTTTTATAGTGTTTGGGTGACACAGTTCCAGTCTCAGTCGCCTCAGTGTACCACCTCTCCTCATAGTGAGGACTCCACAGGTGCTGCCGAGCACTATTGCTTCCCATGTGGTCTAGCCACGGGGCTTCAAATACTTTCTCCCTATACTAATGCCTCCTTAATACTAAAGCCCCATTTAAATTTTAAAAATTTCCTCAAAAACTGATCCAATTCTTTTGATTTCACTTTGTCCTTGGATAAAGTTGCTTAACAGAATGGCCAAGGTGTCATTTTCGTTGAAATCCCTGGTTGCCGAAAATTGCGCAAATTCACTTTAGTGGTGTAGGTCGCATGTTCGTTTAAATACCAAATGTTAAGAAAATTGCAAAAGTGCAATTTTTTGGAGGGTGTCTTCCTACAACTACTATATTTAAGATAATTTTTCCTGAATTAATTTTTGTTCTTTAAAAAATCTTGAAATAAGATGGTGTAATCAATTTCGCATGGAATACAGGCAGTTTTTAATTTTTTTCAATAAAACAATTTTTTCATAAAATTTTTTTCTTGAATAGTTCAAAGAACGGTTAAAAAAAGAGCGGCAAAAGGGTAGTACCATCTCCTGCAAACTCTGTAATTTCAAAATTGGCAATGACGTAACATTGCAAAACTACAAATTTGAAAACAGTTGCCTGTCTTCAACAAAAACTGTTCTAAAATACTAGATCTTTAAAAAAGGTCATGCCTTTTTTTTAAACGAGTAGTTTTCGTGCAATTTTTGCTTGAATTTAATGCAATTTATATTTTTTTAAACTTTGTTCATAAAACACTTCAAAATTCTTTCCACAGACTGAACAAGAAATGCGTAAAAGAATGTTGCAGCTCTCATTTTGTTGAACTCTCTGAATTTTTGAAATTTCCAAATTTAGAAATAATGCAGGTATGTGCTGTTGCACTACTCCTACTTACTTTTGCACCTACTTTTACTAGGTTTCACATTGCTTTTGTTATGGTATTTGAGTTCAAAATATCCTGATCATATTTTATAAATTTTAGTCTGCCTTACAACATTTCTTAACAATTTGTATTTTTGCCAGTAGAAGTGGAAAACACAAGATATGATTTGATGCTTAGAAACACAATTAAGAATTTGTTTTTATGTGATGTTCAAAGAGGGAGAGGAAAGCACCTATCAAAGTGCACTGAAAGCATAAAAAAATGAATATTTATTTATTGTGTCAACATTATTATACACTGCATCCCATGATTCCTGCAGCAAGTGGTCTATGAAGAATTTTATTATACTTTTAGTATTCAATCTACTCATACATGTATTATTTATTGCATCCAGTGTTTGTTTCTCTTGAAAATCGTAATTTGAACATCATGGTCACTGTATCCTAAATATTTTGTTGCAATTTCATAAACATTAAAACAAGATTTTTCTAAGTTCATAGGCAAAACGATTCTACTATTAATCTCTCTCTCTCTCTCTTTTTTTTTTAGGGCTCTTCAAGTTTCATAGAAAATATGGCGTAAGTTTGTTAAGGATTGACTAAGAGAAGACCATTAGTTGAAGAGACACGGTAATGAGACATTGTTGCTAATGCAAATTCCTACTCTGTAACTAGGTTCAGCATGCTTTTAATTTACATGTTTTAAATTGGATGATTGCAATACTGAAACTTCACAGTTGTTACAGTGCGCAAATGCTGTAGCCTCTAATTTACAGTAAGAAAAACAAAGAGATATCTGTGGAAAAAAACAAACTATTCATCTCCGAAATTGGTGTTCACTGAAAAGAGTTTATTTGAAAACAGAAAGTGTTTACATTTATTTCTGTGAAAATACAAAATAGAGAACTTGGAGTACAACTTAAGAAGACAAAAAAATTAGACAATAACCAATGTAATTTCACTGCAAATACCGTAGCTTTTGTCCGAATATAATACGAGCTTTTCCCTGAATATCTCAGTCAAAAAATGTAGGGTCATCTTATATTCGCAGATTAAGTCTAGTATGTTAGGTTTTATGCTTTTTATATTGCCTTTGCGTGTTAGGAAACTCGTAAACGTTAAGGTAATAATAAGCTGTGAAGTCTAAAAATATCGCTTTAATACTACGTAATTATATTCGTGATCGTATTCTCGGCATCCTCCGCGAATTTGCTGCTTAATTCAAACCGACATTTTTGAATGGGCCAATAAACAAATGGCATTGTATCAAATCAAACGTAATGTGAAAATGAATGCCTAGTTACACGATGCGGGTTCGAAGAGACCGCGCGGAATCTTGGTTCGACGCCCAACGAATCCAGTGCGAATTTGCGTTTTGCAAGAGACGGAAATGGAAAAAAATCACCTTAATAGACGTATGCATTTTACAGCAAACTTCAGAAAGGGATTATAAAAAAAGCAAATTCTTAGCAAAAACGAATTCAAACTGGGAAACTTGCCGCTATTTCCGTTTACCCGCGATATGGAGGGTCAGGCATACGATTTCGCAGTCCAAACCTTTATTACACGAACATTAAACGATACTATAATTTGAAATATTTTGCTCATCAATAATTGCGGGTCAGAATAATTAAAGACTGAACGCAAAACCAGCGCGCAAATCTTTCACAAGCGCCTAAAAAGTCGGAGGATGTCGCAGCATGAAGGACCAAAAAGAAAGAAACATTGATGCATGTGAAGATGCTTAGGACAGTGACAAAAATTATGATTATGATTACTTTAAAGCACCGGAAACTTATCTAGAGAATGCTGTACAATAATTACTTTGTGAAGTGTCAATGTTGGAAATAACAGTTTCCATTGCACTACTACGAGTGCACTGAGTTATTAAAATATGTTTTATTAGTTTTGTTCTGTTTACTTCCATAGATATTATTCTAATTCACGTTTCATATGGTGAAAGCAGTATGAAGGCAGATGAAACTGAATGATTCAATATGTTTAAACAGGTGTATTAGTGTTATCATTTTTATCACACTGAATGTATGTTTTAATAGTAATAAATGTCAATTTTTGGGAAGCATTTGCTAATATAATGAAATTCAAATTGCTTAGCTGTTAAATGTGCTTTTTTTTTGTAACTCTTGTAATCTACCTTTAGTGCAAAATGGTTATTTATGTAACTAGTATGGAAAGTGAGTCTGGTAAACTAATGAAATCTTGTCAAAGAAGGCGACGACAGGACTGAGACTGGCATTTGGAAATGAATATGCCAAAGACACTTTCATACAAAATGCTTATATTATTTTTGAGGATAAATTCATGGAAACTTACTCTTGGGATCATTCACAACATGCAAGGCACCAGCCTTGTTGATTCCATCCCATTGTTTTTATTATGCAGTACCCAGTTGTGGCTGCAACTTCTTATCAGTACACGTACAACAAAGGAACACACTCCTATTATGGAACAGTGCAGGTAACTATGCACGGGAGGTGAAAATGTCTTTTTAACGCTGCAAAGTCATTTTTCAGATGTCTCACAGGCATATCTATTTGTAGTACTTTTTAACTGATTAAAACGTTATTGACTGCATGACAAGGCTTTCTTTCACTAACGAATACCATAGTTGTTTCTGATGATAAAAATGAAATAAATAATAGTTTACAGAAACTCTAATGAATAAGGTATTCAATGGTTAAAATAAAAAAAGAGAAGGAAAAGCAGGTTGATGACAATGGAGAAGGAACAAGAAAGAGAACTAATAATAAAATTTAAGCTTCAATGTTTACAAAAAATTATAATTGTTAATGAACATATACAATAATTATACACATCAAAATAAATCAACGTCTCTTCCCTGACTTTTGTTTCATTCTCTTACTTTTACCTGGTCTTGGCACTGATTTTCTGACTTTTCCACCAGGTCTGTTTCCAGACTTGTGCTTATCAGGAAGTCCTGCTGCACTTTCCTTGGTATTGTGTTTGCGACCTTTTTTCCTCCCTCCCATTCCATATTTTTCATTCTTGAATTTTCGCTTTGCTTCAACCCTGTAGCAAAAAAAATACAGATAATAAATAATTGCATATTACTAATTACCAGTCTCTGTTACAGAATTTCCTCACAGTGAGAGTATATGTTGTGTCTGGAATGTTATAATGGGAAAACTCCAGCAGGTCAAAAGTCCCCCACATGTAGCAAGAAACATGCAATCTCCTTCACAGAATGACTGGTATTACAGCTTTTCAGGTCTGAACTTTCACTATATTTGAGTCATAACACATGCAGGAGAAATGGTTGGTCATCACAGCACAACAGCAGCCATTCTTGATGTTTTGTGGACTCTTAAACAAACTCTGTTAAGGAAGATTTCCCAGTAACAAACAGGCCGAATGATCCTATGACACGATATTCAGAAGCTCTCATTGCAGCCCAAACAAACTTAAGAATTCTAAAGGTGACAGTATGTGCATCTGAAACCCTATTACAGACCAGCAGCAACCACTCTTGGTGCTCTGTGGACTTAAAAGCAAATTAACCAGAAGGGTACCAGGAATTTACCTCGGACCTATGATTGCATAACATGACATTTACACACTCTGACTGCAGCCCAAACACATGCCCATACTGAATGCTGAAGGTTTCACATCATGCACAGTTCTGAAACTGTATCACGAATTAAACTGAATAACTAATAAACTTAAACTGTATAACTAATCTGTGGAAAAAAGTTCATTTTAATACAAACTAATTTGGTAATTTTAACAAAAAGGTCCACATGAATGCAATATGCACCATAATTAACTTTACAATAGCAACTTTAAATTGAATACTTCTGAGCAAGAAGGAAGCAAGAATATCTGCAATATTTTTACAATTCTATTGGTTTCCCTGTCCAAAATGTATTTAATATTAAATTTACATGGCACATATTTGTTTAAAATTTTAAAATTCTGAATGTTTCATGCAAAATTACCCCAAAAATACTGAAATATTTTCAAAACATTGAACAAGACTTATTTTGATGATTTTATTTCACTAAGAAAAAATTAGGTCTTCTTAAAAATGTTGTAGGAAGAGTCTGAATTTTTTTTTTTTTTTTTTTTTGAATTTTTGCAATTTTCAAGTAGTAAGGGATATCAACAAAAAAGAGACCTGTCCTATTCTCTTTATGGCATTCAAGATCAAAATTTAATTAAAATAATTGAAGCCTTTTATAAAGAATTGTGTTTAAATTATGTGTTAAAAACTTATACAAAATTGTATTTCATACAAAATTACATGAATTTCTCCAATTGTCGGAAAATTATACATGACCTCATTTCAAAATATGTCTTTGAAGAACAAATTTTCATTAAGGAAAAAAAATTTCTATCTTCAATATTTTAGTTGTAGGAAGACTCTGAAAAAAGAATTGGACTTTTCTATTTTCAAAAAAATCAGCTGCAACATCAACCAGATTGACTATCAATTTTGAAGAAAATTGGCTGAATGGTTTAGGTGCTAGCGTTGACAACAGACAAGACGGATATTTTGTCACCAACAATATTTTGGAATCGAGAACCCACAAAACATGGATTCTGCATATTACAATACTTTCTCTATTCTTAGTAAGCAATATCAAGGTAAAAATCAATCAATTCCATGAAAAATGGCCATAAGAGATAGTTACTTAATCAAGGTGACCAGGTTTCACAAACTAGTTTGAATTTTGGCCTCCTTTATAAAAGACCAACCTTACACCAAATTGAAACCACAAGTTGGGATAACTACAAATGACATTACTAATTATTTTAAATTTCTGGAATTTCACTATTTTTGAAATTGTTCATGTATAAGGTTTCCCCTAAAAATGTGATAACCTTGCATTAAAACAATTATGTACATGTAAGATTAGTGTTAATTTCATTCAATAGATATAACTAACTTTCTTTGCAAAAGGTTTGGTGCCTCAAGTTTTAAAACAATTTTGACCCCGCCCCCGAAAATTTCGTAAAAAGGAACTGCTTATTCTTGCATTGAGGTCTTCAATTTTATTATGCCACTTAATTATAGATTAATTACACAGACCTTTACTATTCTGATGCTGGAAAACAGATAAAATATTGAAAATATTCTTATCTTACATTAAAGACAATTCTGTTTCATATACCCTACAATGCAAGGAGCAAATTCTATTCTCAAGAGCTAGTCTAGTCAGAACTGTAATATGAAAATACACTTACTTTTTATTCATAGGCTGCTTCTTATTAGAATTTCCTGGAGTTTGTTTACGTTTTGGCTTCAAATCCAGAAAGTCTAAATCAGTAGTCATTTTTTTCCGATATTTTTTAACTTGCTCCAGAAACTCTCGTTTTTCATTAATTTTCTGAACCTTTGCTTGCTTTTGCAAGTCTTTGTTAACTTTACGCATTTTTCTTATATGTCGAACCTTTTCAGCTCTCTCTAGGATTTGTTGCCTTCTCTGAAGAGCACCACGAACCTAATGTTTGAAAAACATGTCATATTTACTCATTCTTTTCAATTTTAAACTTCTGAATTGCTAATACTAAATTATATACAAATGAATTAATTACTATTGTTTTAGTTTTTAAAGAGTTTACAAATGCCAATGGCTCTTCATTAACACCTTCAAGATGTTAAGAAATAACATTTATTATTGAAATCAATTTATTATTAACAAACAAAATAAGCAAATTAGAAAAACAATTAACACAACATTAAATTATTTAATTTTTAACCCATACAATAATCTCAAATGTCTCAAACTGGAGTAATAAAATAGTAAAAATTGAAACTGAATTAACATGTAATTAAGAATTAAAAAAAAAAAAGAATAAAAATAATATTTTGATACCACATTGTTTGGTATTTTATATATTGCAGGTTCTGTGACTGCATTACAATATCAAAATTTTAAATATTTCTGCCTCATTAATATATGCAATCTCATTTTAGTATTGAAAACAGGTTTTAAAGTTGTAATTACAAGACACTTGCACATTTAAACAATGCAAATGAAGAGAAAAATGTGTTAAACAATAACAAGTAAAACACACAACAACTATAAATTTTAATAAAAATACACAATTCAATCAATTATTAAAAAACATCTTGAAAAATTATGTCACTATAAACTAGAAATCACATAAATAATTTAAGATTATAAGTATATATACATTATCAAAGTGTCTTTAAAAAGAAAAAGAAGACAAGAAAAGTGTGAAAGAAATAAGAGGAGAAGAGGCGGGAGGAGGGAGGAGGGAGAAGAAGACAAAGAGTTAACTTTTACCTTTTGCATATGAGAATCAGTTTTTGCCATTTCAGCAAAATAATCATCAGGTCGTTTTGTGGGAATCCCCAGTTCCTTCAATTGAGATAAACCATCAAGAGCTGCTGCCTGTGCTTGACGTAAAAACATGGTTTCCCGCTCAAAATCATTTAATACTGGGTCTGTTGCCTTGCCCAATTTTGCTTGCTTTTCCCTTTCTTCTTGTAACTGAAAATAATAAATCCAAAATGTTACTTATGACAAGTCTCAATTTAACATTAATTAAAAGCAGTTTCACCAAACAATTTTCAAATCATTTTAAGAAGCATCTATTATAAGAACCATGCAACTCGCACAATGTAAATGTAGTACTATTTATTTTGCTAATCGAAAAGTTTCCTTTTTTGTATTATTAAAATTCATAACAATACTATAACACAAAATTATGAAGCAAAATGTATAATTTATAGTATCAATACATTAGAAAAATCCACAATGCAGCAATGATCATTCACTAAATTTTCTGTTCTTACTAGTGTCCTGCAGCTGCTGAAATGCTGCTGAATAAAACCACACCAAATGGTTTCTCATAAAGTAGCTAACACAGTGCTGAAGATCAACAAATAAAATATATTCTTCTACAATACTACCATAAATAAATTATTTTAACAAAACAGTCTTCATGAATACTACAATAACATTGCATACTATTCAAAGCTAGTTGCTACTCCATACTACAAGTGAATAGCAAATATATATAATGGCAGGTGGCCTCTTCCTTCGAGCCTCCCCACCACAAAGATGTCAGCTGTGTCTTAAGTAATAATGCTTTGTGTATGAGAATCCAGAAGTATGTGCATTATGAGAATAGAATAACACAATCATATATAAGCTTTTTTTTATACAAAATCAAAATGGCTTCATTAGTTTTTCCCTATTCCTAGAATTTCTGGGTATCTAATGAAACCAGAGGCACATCTCACATGGCTGTATGTTGCACAGCTTTTTCTTTTAATTTCTGTGCGCATCAGACAGTGTACATAAATAAAATAACATAGTGACAATGCTTCATTTCAAATGTGGGTGGATGTTTTTAATCAACTAAACTTTTTTCTTAGGTATCATCAAAACTGCCAAATTGGGTCTTGTTGGGCCAAATTGTTTTTATGGTCACTACGGTTTATGAAGTGCACAAATTAACTAATTAAATTAAAAAACATGCACGCAGACACTCATTACCTTTATGCCTTTGAACAAGAGCCCCTTCAAACACACATTAATTCAAATTTAAACTACCTTACCTTTGCTGCAAGCTCTGGTGCCATCGCAGCTGGTTTCGAGTTTAAATCCAATCGCTCAACCCAAGGGAGTTTCAACACTATGTTATTCAATATTCGATTCAGAGCAACCTATGCACAAAAATAAACAAACATTATTAATGACTAGATTTCTTTTGTTTTAACAAATTAGAGCTCAAACTGCACTGAAAAGACAGACAGCATACAATCGAATGTAGAGCATATTACAAAAAGAAAGAATATTGAAGGAAGTCGCCTGGTGATGCAGTTACACACAATAAGCTCAGGAAAGGGAATTTTCTATTCATAGGTGTTATAACTAGAGTAATTTACTGGACCTAAATAGTATTTCAAAATAGTAGCAATGAAGAGACTATTCGTTAGGAATTATTAATTAGAAATTTCACTTCGACAAAATTAGAATTTCAAAAACTTTTTGAGGTTGATAAAAATGGATGGAACCTCTCTGGTATAACTGAGGAAGGAAGTGTTCATGATGTACAAAGGAAAATTCTTCTACAAGGGCTGTAAATTCTTCGAAAAGGAAGTGGAAAATCTGCAGTAAAAACAAGGGCCTAAATTTGTACAAGGCGAAAGACTAGAGGATTAAAAATTAAAATGGAATTAGTTTAGAAAATGGCAATTTATTAATTTTTAAATTAGGTAAAGATTGCACGTATTTGAGCACGAGCAATATGAATGTTTGTTGTATGTTGTAAAGAGTGAATGTGATTTTTTATTGTATAATAGTAAGAATAATTAATTACAAGTGTGATGATATTACTGTTGAAATATAGATTCAATTACTGTATGAGGAAACATTTTATGAAAATAAATGGCATGCTGCATTGTCACGCAACAGAATTGAGTACGAATTCTGGTTATAATTTTTGATAATATTTTGCATACATCTCCATCTATCATAAATCCCCCAAATAAATAAAATACTTAATAAATACTTAAAAATAAGTACTTAAAAGAGTGATTCTGACATGACAGACATCAGTATCTGCAGATTGAACTTGATCATTTTCGTCTATATTGTGAAACCTATCCTCTATTGTCTCTCAATTTCTATTAATATTACAGGTAGTTCAGGCATGATTATTTTCTGTCTAATTATTATTATTAACTTGATTGGCCACATTGGACCACTTGAGTCGTTCCACTTCACTTTTACTGTTTATGGTCGACTGTCGAAGGTTTTCACCTTGAGGTGAGGATAAATCCTCGAGTTACAATTCTGAATGTTATTCAGAAAGGTGATAATGAGAGATGGAGGATGATGGATGATAGGGGGTGAAAGGACGAACACAATACAACCATGGCCGAGGCGGCACTCGAACCCGCCATCTTTCGGTACGAGATCGCTAAGGCACTACTGCCTTAACGATCTCGGCCACCGGATCGGCTCTTAAGTAATTAATAAATAAATGTATCTATAAAAGGTTACATCACCACGAGAAACTTAAAAATCAATCTATATTAAGTAATGAACATGCATACAATATTAGTGGTCATCCCTTATGTACCTGGTATTACTATTTCAACATAAAAATACTATTATTGTTCTCATTCTTTGAACAGCACTGAGAAGGGTTTTATTTTGTATGAAGAACTTGGTCTCTGAAAGGTATGAAGAGTCCATTCTCAAAGACAGAATGGGATTTATCATGAGCAAACATCTAGTATTGTTGGCATCAATAAGAGAAACCCAAAATTCTTGACTGATATAATTTCACTTTCTAGTACCTATTTTTCACAATTCCAAACTTTGGTGCCCAAGTTTAACACTTCTTGCCATTTTGTCTACACTTGGGGAGAAAGATAATATGTGACAGTGCCTTCCTGTTGCCCAGATGTGCTGGTATGACTGGCAACGGCTGAAATAGATGCAAGGAGACAAAAAGGAAAATAATTAAGAAAAAAGGGAGGGGCGAGGTCAAAATAATAAAAATAAGCATTAGCAGATAGAACAGACATTATTAAACTCTCCTAAAACAACTTCTGAAGTACAGTTAAATGTTTGCGTTGCCAGTATTAAAACAGCATTTTGCCACACTTCCGGACTCTAGTAATGATATTCAGCATCTTTGATAGACAAACTCATATTGTGCATAATGTGGTGTTTTTTTGTCGAGTTCAGTACATTCCCTGTGATCAGAATGAATTATTTTAAGAACTATGAAGATGTACTTAATGATTAGATGATCTTACAGGAAAGCCTCTTACGAGTTAATGAAGATTTTTTGGTATTCTTTGCTAGGAACATCAAGTTTAATATCGCGAAACTGTAATAAAATGTATATTGAAACACTGATGATATTCAAATAAATGGCAAAACATGAGTAATACTAATTACATTTTTCACTCATACAAACTGCACACAAAGGCCTTGGCTGCATAATTTCAATGGTCGCAAATCAATATCGTTAACATTTACTAGTACAAACACTCACTTCATTATTCACGTAAGTCTTCTTAGCATTTTCCTCAATGTTAAGTCCAGGTTTAATAATCCCCTTGGCGAAAGCTTCCTGTAACTACAAGAGCACGAAACGTTTCAAACTTCAACATCAATTATCTTAAAATATTCAGTAATTACAACATGTTTTATTGAACTTACTTCTGTTTCGGAATCACTCTCGCCGCTTTCTAGTTCATATTGCATCATTTTAATTTTTTAAAAATTAAATTTCGCAGTAGAGTAAAAGACCGACTTAAAACAGCCTTATAAATCTTCCTCTTATTCACATTCAATATTTTATGATATTCACATTCAATATTTTATGATATCGGCTTTAATCTATCATGTGTTACTGTAAAACAAGTGGAGTTGTTCATTCCAGTTGAATAGGCACGGTTTACATCGACATAACAGTATATATAGAGAACTCCAATAACCCTCACCAACGTGCTATTGAACCACGTGCGAATTAACTCCTAATTCTATTCTGAATCAAGACGGGGTTCTCTCGTCCGAAACAATCTTCATAAACGTAACCCATTAACACACACGTGGGCCCACATCTGATCTATACTCTCTGCATCTGATCCATTCAGCCCACCAAAACTGAAATTGTTTTGCCAGGGCTACCGAACTACGTGTTAATTCTCGCGACTAGCGTTAGTGCTGCGCTCGAAGGGGCGGAATCGCCAATTAAACTAAGTGGTGGGTGGGGGACCGTTACCAGGTGGGGGGTAATATTTTCCACAATTAGATGCACAGTATTTTTTGCTGTCAATTCCTTTTAGAGGTAAATTTACAATCAATTCTAGGATTGCAGTAGGAAATGGTAGGATATATAATGGCATAGAAGTGACCAGGATAAACAAACAACTCAATAATGAAATGAAGAATCGCGATTATTAAAATGAAATTCGGATAAAAAACAATTGTAGACATTGTGAAGAATAGATATACAGAATTCCCAAGTAATACTAATGTTGAGAATATAGATTGGAAACATAGTAATTCACAAATCAAGTCGATGTTAGTTGACTTCAATAAATCAACAGTAATATCTATTATGAAATACTTCATCTCGGAGTGCCTCTGGGAAGAATTCGTCTTCTGCAGGAATCAAGTATTGAAGTGATTTACGAGAATCACTTGCTATTACGAACGTACTGAGGGAATAAAGACTGCTTCGTGATATCAAGAAGATTGTGATAGTATTGATATTCCAATTATGTTTGAACTGTATTGAAATTCCAACATTGCAAAGATATTACTTGATGAAATGGCAAATAAATAACTAGTGAACATTGACAATAGGTGATTCCAAAAATTAAAATGATTAGTCAGTTAATTACTATATCCGACAAAACTTTACTGAATAATTACAAGCAATCAAAAAGCAGCTCTTCTAATCACTGTTAGCAATAGCAATAATGTTCATCTAAGCCAGTTTCAATACTATCTTTTGAAATTCTTCTTTAATTAAGAGTGGCATCGACAAGAACATTTTAATGGAGAAAAGCAATGTGAAACGAACAATCTTTAAAAAATTATATAGCTGTTAATAACACTGTACAAGGATTTGAAAAATGAATAATCTTTTCATATGCCATTATTTTTACGAATGTGCAGAAGCTTGGTTGTATTTACGACAAAGAGTGCAGATAGATTAATATCTAAAACGATTCAAGAAGTTTGGAAATGGAAGTACCTTTTGTAGTTTCGGACATTAGTCTATTCTCCTTTTCACATATATTTTCCCAAATTATTTTTACACAAAATTATCTATATTAATTTTATATTTGGATTAGAGGATGTCTAAAGATTGGAATGATCTAGTTGCAACTAAATAATTGTCCAATTTTCATTGTTCATTGACTTGGAGTCCAAGAAACGCGTAGATGAAATTTAAGGTAAATTTTGAAAACATTTTTAAACTACTGTGTTGCTTCTCTTCATTATTCCAACATCCATTCCTACCGCAAATCTCAAAGAGAATGCCAAGTTGTAATGGCTTTCAGACAGTAAGAGTGGAGCTGAAGTAAATTTGTGCTTATCATTAAAGCAAATTATAGACATATATATTAATAAATTATAATTGAAATGGCAGAAGTAATTAAATTATTAACTAAAGTTAATATTGAGTTAATTACTGAACAAGTGAGGAAGCCTCTAATGTTTTGCATACAAAAGGATGAAAAATAACATCCATTTTATGTGCAGTGTTTTAAAGTGCAACTACCACTAGAATGCAACCTTATATCCAGGCTTGTGCTACACTTCTATATCGAAACAATACACAAAAGAACAAAACAAATGAAACTAACGCACCAGACAAATTTGAAACAAACCAATAAACTTGGTTTCAAAGGAAAATTGTGCAGGTTCACGTCTCGCAAACAAATAGATTAAAAATTACCCTGGAGCCTTTAAAAATGTGTTTCTCAATACAAGCACTTTTCTTCTTAAAATCATCATCTATCTGCAGCTATGCTCAAGCAACAGAACACAATGAAGTAAAACCTACTGTACTTGTATTTCTGTTGTAAATGTAACATTTGCCTGCATTTTTACAAGAAATGATGCAAACATTTCTTGATAAAACCAGATAAATACCATGGTGTACAAGTTATACTAAAGGACACAAAGAAATTAGGTGCCAGGGTCATAACAATAAGAAATTCCACAACTTTGTAAGCGAAACTGAGAGCTTTGGGGTTGATGTTTTTGTCTGGAGACATGCACCTGCCATTTTCCCAGGTGTTGCTGACTTCACCAGGGGAGAGAGGTGGCCCATTTCGCCTGATGTAATGGATGCTACAACTCGTTTCGTCACGTGTTCGAGCAGGCACAAGGCGGATCAGCATAGGAAGGAGGAAGGACTGTTGCGGAGCAGGTGAGAGATAAAAATTAATTATTTAATTTTAAAAAAATAGTGACACAAGAAACATTCACACTTCAGAAGAGAGCGATTACCTGATATTTGTTGGACTGATGTAATGGGGATTCGGCAATTGCTGTAGCACGATGCTTGCAGAATCTCTATAAGACAGATGAAATCAAGCATTTTAAGTACAATGCTCAGAAAAAAGAATTCAAGCCAAATGTTGATGTGGTTCACAGCACGAATAGAATTGGGCAGTCGATTTGAAGTACATTCCAAAAATACTACAATTTTTTCATTCGCTAACCTGTGATTATCTGTATTTTTTAAAAGGTTAAATGAAAAATATACTCAACGTAAACAAGAAACTGGCCAACCATACGAGTCCTCCTTTTTGGGGGCAAATAGCAAGAAATCCTCAGCCCAAACTACGCAACTGCATAAATGCCTGTCACGGATCCTTCGCCATCTGGGAATCTCTGAATTCCCTCCATTTTGTGCAGGACAAAACGCCTCGTTTTTCGGAAGGGATCTGTGGAAGCGAGATTCCTTCCAAAATGTTTTTCTAATGATTTAAGGTTGTGACATACCAACAGGTAGACAATCTGAGCAACAAACACAAGACATCTTGCTTCTACATTAATATAATAAATTGACGAAATTTTCGTATGTATTAAGCTTTAATATAAGTGATTTAATAGATAAGTAATTTAATAATAACACCTTTAAGTCTTACCTCTTACAAAAAAATTGATTGAAAAAGTGTTCGCCGAAGTCACAGATCGTCAAGGCACAACCGGAACTACAAAAGCCAACAGCAAAAGTAGGAAAGGCCGTTGTCCGCTTCAAAACATCTTGTCCTCCGCGGACATCGATGTCTTCGGTAACACTCCGTTTATTCTCGGTCGCATTCGTGGTCATTCGAATTCTCTCTTCTCTGTTTAATATTGCTTCTCTTTCTAACACTGCGACTGCAGGGCCCTCGCGTCAGGCCGGAATCAACTTAAACTTTGCGAAACGCAGGCCAGGCCCCAGCCGTATGAAGCTAGGAGCCCCTGTTTGGTTTTACGCGCTGATTTGCCTCAAGCACAAGAGTAGAGAGTATTAGCACAAATATACTCTTTTAGGCAGAGTCCTTCCAGAGGTAAATAATACTCTCTGGGGAGAGTGTAACGAAAGCCAAAAAAAAAAGGCCCAAGGAAATAAACTAAGTCTGGTCAATGAGAAACTGTAGTGACATTTGGCTGATCAATTCGCTGTTACTCATTTATGCCATATATTGCTTCGGACAGCCAAACAATTAAAAATCAAAAACGTCATATTCTTCTATCCATTTGTCCTTTTCCTCTTCTCCAATCTTGTACCTATCTTATATTTCTTCGTTCTTCTTCTTCTTCTTCTTACTTCTTCGTTCTCTTTCTCTCAGTCTTAGTTCTCACTCAGATTCATCTGCGTTCCGTTCTCTTCTTTTATTATCCTCATTCTGCATTCTCTCATTCTCATTCTCTTGTTCTCTCTTCTTCTCTATTCCATCGTCTCATTTCTTCCCATTCTCACTTCTATCCTCTCATTCTCTCCTCTGCATTCTCATTCTCTCATTCTCATTTCTCTCATTCTCACTCCATTTTCATCCATTCCTCGATGATCTCTCGATCTCATTCTCATCTCATTCCTCTCATTTATTCTCCATTCTATCCTGCTCATCCATTCTCTCATCATTCTCCATCTCTTCCATTCTCATTCTCCATCTCATTCTCATTCTCTCATTCTCGCATTCTCTCATTCTCATTCTCTCATTCTCATCTCTCATTCTCCATTCTCATCTCCATTCTCATCCATTCTCATTCCTCATCTCATTCCTTATTTCTCTCTATTCTCTCATTCTCATTCTCTCTATTCTCTCATTCTCATCTCTCATTCTCATTCTCTCATTCTCACTCTCTTCATTCTATTCCTCATTCCATTCTCTATTTCTTCTCATTCTCATTCTCTCAATCATCTCCATTCTTCTTCCATTCTTCATTCTCTCCTTCTATTCTCTCATTCTCATTCTCTCTCTATTCCATCTCATTCTCTATTCATTCCCATTCTCATCTTCTCCTCCTACTCCCTATCTATTCCATTATTCTCGCATCTCATTCTCCCTCTCCACTGCTCTATTCCCATTCTCATCTATTCTCTTCATCTATCTCTTCATCTCTTCTCATCTCTCATAATTCTGCTTCTCATTCTCCATTCTCTTCTCATTCTCACTTATCTCATCATTCTCATTCTCTCAATCATTCATCCATTCCTCTCATCTCTTCTTCATTCATCTCTCATTCTCATTCTCATCTCATTCTCTATCTCTCATTTCATCTGATCTCTTCTCATTCTCATTCTCTCATCTCATTCTCTACCATTCCTCCATTCTCATTCTATTTCTCATTCGATCTCTTCTCTCTCCATTCTCATTCCCATATCTTCTTTCATCTCTTTCTCTTCATTCCTCTTTTCACTCTCTTCCTATCCTCCCATTCCGCATCTCTCTTCTTCTCATTCTCTCATTCTCATCCTCATTCTCATTCACCCTTCCTTCTTCCTACTTCTATCTCATCTTTTCTATCTCATCATTCATCTCTCATTCATCTATCATTATCTCATTACTTCTCATTCTCTTTCTCTCATCTCTCATTCTGATTCTCATTCTTCATCTCTCATCGCTCATTCGTCATTCTCTATTCTCATTCTCTCATTCTCAATCCTCATCTATTTCTCTCATTCTCGTCATTTCCATTTCTCATTCTCATTCTCTCATTCTCATTCTCTCATTCTCATTTCTCATTCTCTTCGCTCATTCTCATTCTCTCATCTCTCTCCATTCCTCATTCATTCTTCGCATTCTCTATTCTCTTCTCCATATTCTCTCATTCTCATTCTCTCATTCTCCTCATTCTCTTCATTCTCATTCTCTCCATTTCTTCTCTATTCTCATCTCCATTCTCATTCTCTCATCTCATATCTCTCATCTCATCTCTCATTCGTCTCCTATTCCTCATCTCTCATTCCATCTCTCATTCTCATTCTCTCATTCTCATTCTCTCATTCTCATTCTCTCATTCTCATTCTCTCATTCTCATTCTCTTCATCTTCCAATTCTCTCATTCTCATTCTCTCATTCTCATTCCTTCTCATTCTCATTCTCTCTTCTCATTTCTCTCATTCTCTTCTCATTCTCTCATTCTCTTCTAATTCTCATTCTACTCATTCTCATTCTCTCATTCTCATTCTCTCATTCTCCATTCCTCAATTCTCATTCTCTCATTCTCTCCTCATTCCTGCATTCCTCTCATTTCTCATGTCCTCATTCTCTTCTCTCATTCTCATTCTCTCAATTCTCATTCTCTCATTCTCATTTCTCATTCTCATTCTCTCATTCTCATTCACCGTCATTCAATTCTCTCATTACTCATTCTCTATTCTCATTCTCTCATTCTCATTCTCTTCATTCTCATTCTCTCATTCTCATTCTCTCATTCTCATTCTACAATTCTCATTCTCTCATATCTCATTCTCTCATTCTCATTCTCTGCAATTCTTCATTCTCTCATTCTCATTCTCTCTGTCTCAATTCTATCATTCTCATTCTCTCATCTCATTCTCCTCATTCCATTCTCTCATTCTGCATTTCCCTCCCCCCTTCACTTCTCATTCTCTCTTCTCCATTCTCCTCCTTCTTCATTCTCTCATTTTTAAAAACGGCTTCAATTTTTTTAAATTTATGGTGGGGACATTGTTAAAATGTACTCGATGAGAAAGCATACACGTCATATTACTCTATTCATTTATTTTTTCAAGAATTACAAAATTTTAATTTTGTTGACTTGCCTCTCATGTCGTTAATATTTATATTAGCGACAATTTGATCATATTGTATATATGAGTACGTGTGCTTTAAATAATATATAAAGTTTCTCAAAAACTTCATCTGTTCGTCGTTATCTGCATCGTTTTCTGTGAAAGCTAACTCAAAACTCATTTTCAGAAACGCTCAAACGCCATTTCCTCAAAAACAGCTTCAAATTTTTCCTTCAAACTTTTTAACGGATAGTGCTAATTGCAGTCTTTAATATGACGTAAAGTTCATTAGGTGAATTTTTTTTTCTTTTTCAAAAATTATACAAATGTATATATTTTTTTTAAAGATCTCTCACCCTGTTATGCTTACTATTGGTAGACACTATTGTATTTATGAGTTAAAGTACTTTACATGACTCCATGAAGTTTTTCGAAAACTCAGAAATTTTATGTGAAAAAGAGCTTCAAATTTCGAATTTACACTAATGCTTAAACGCCAGTTTTTTAAAAACGGCTCCAATTTTTTCAAAGAAAATTGACATTTAGGATCAGGTTTTACTGCACTTTAATAATCTTAAAATAATATTTTCGCTCTACCATTAGAAAACCGAAAAATGAAGAAAATGTAAAAAAAAAGAAAAAAAAAATGTACTTTGGCCTGCGACAGAAGGCAGCTGTCAAGAGCATCTGGCAAGTTCGAGTAGTTAGCCGAGGCCGAAGGAAATAGAAAACGAATACGGGGAAGTCTGTGCCATTCTGTAGCACCACTAGTTTTGTTTAAATTTCAGTAATTCTCCCATCTTCCATTCTTGGCAATTATAGTAATGATAGGGCAAATACGGGTAAGTTGTATTTGCTTTCTTACTGCACAGCCCACCCGCTGGTTAGCCGGTCAACTATTGAACGGAAGTAGATTGGCCTGGAATGTTTCCACAAGGGTGGTTGCGATATAATAGATTAATTATATTCTTAAAATAATAATAATAATAATAATAATAATAATAATAATAATAATAATAATAATAATAATAATAACAATAATAATTGTTTTCACACGTGTGCTACTACTGGGAGAGGTGGCTCAGGGTATCAACTGATGTCATTACAGTACCTTAGACCAGAAGATCCTAGGTTCGAGTGTCGACGATGGCAGAATTTTCGACTCTAGCTAGATGGCTAGGACAAATTCAGACGCTGTTTGGAGGAGAATCCTAATGGCCGGCTGCTCTGATCGGTAGTTTTCCGTGACTTCTCCGATCGATATCAAGCGAATGCTAGAGCACTGTCCTAACAAACGAGCCACGGACCGCACGCGATCTTGCCTTCCTCTTCCTTCTCCTATCCTCACGTCGTACACACACACACACACACACACACACACACACACTACATTACTAAATATGCCGGGAGACCGCCTTAGAGCTTGTCCCGGCTCGGGCGGTGCTCCGCTGGCGAGAAATGGTTGAGGGAGACCCCGTTAGCTAATGGTAGGCCGGCGCCGTATCTCATCATCCAGCTGGGGAAGATCACTGCCACTTCCCGAGAAAAGGTGCACTACACTTACGGGACTAATGATTTTAGTAGTTGACGCGCACGGAATTACTAACAATCAACCAATCGAATCGTCACAAAAATATATTTGTTAATATAGAATTTAAAAAATTGAATTTTGTGATTTTTTGATTTTTAAAATGACTAGAGTGTGTCAAGAAAACTCTGTGGCCAAACCATAGACTAACATTAATAATATATATTAACATGGTATTTCCATGACGAAACTACCTTCTGAAATTAATCAATTGTGACAATTTCATATTTTTATGTACAAAAATTGAAGACGTAACGAAGCTCCCGATTGGATGACATTGTGACAATATGTTCTCTAGTATGCACCTCTCCGCTCAGATCGTAACCTTGAAGTGCTACTCTTCTTAAATCGGAGTATATATACTACTGCGCTGTTCTACGAGAAAACATTATTGTGTACAGTTTCAGTGGTATTGGTTAACCGCATTGTTTAATGTGACCAGTGTTTACAGTTTCGTTATTTTATATTTGTTTGTATATAGATTTGTACAATTGCACAGAACTTCCCATTAATTTTCATTAATACATTATGTTTACATTATCATAAAGCATTTTTGAATTTTCCTGTTCATCTGTATTTTTCTAGAATTATGTCTGTCACTACTCCTTCAGGTCCTCGAGAAATACAGGTAAAGAGGTTATATTTCTGTATGGTGCTCTTTTCAAAAAGAATTGTACATTGCGCACTGAAGGCGAAATCATTCTCATAAAGATTGTTCTGACATGGGAGATAATTAAATAAATTGATAAAATTTATATAATTTCCATTGACATTTTTAAAATTGTGTAGAAGTAGTTCATATTAACTCATCACAACTTAGAGAAATAGTGCTATTTTGATGCAGCAGGTCATTGAATCAAACAAAAATTTGATTGTAATTTAAAGCAGAAAAGTTTTTTATTCTTTCCTTTTCATGGCTTCTGGTCTAAATATTAAGATCAATGAAGACTTTAATCAATGTCACAATGAAAAACATTTTAAGAATGTATTTTTAGTAGTAGCAAGAATAAAATTCAGTTTAGCAATAAATTATATTGTTTTTTTATCAGATGCAATACATGATATAAAAAAGTACAACACATTTACTATTTGCAATATTATATCCTAAAAAATTTCAGGATTTCCAATTTAAACTTATCTGTCGATTACACGTATTTGATCAGAAGGATGGAGAATACCAAGGTTCATATAATTTGGTTGCAACAGCAAGCAAATTTGGACTTCTCTTTGTTGGAAGTGGGAAACATCTTCAAGGTACTACCAAAAATTTGAAAGCTTAACAACTCAATCACAGTCAGAATATTGCTTTGCAACTTGCCTAACATATAATTGAAATTTTTTTTGTAGCTATTTTGTTACATCGTGTTCTTGAAATGGAAAATCCCACTGATCATAAATCACCGAGAGGAGCATCTCATGGTGGAAATGAAGTTAGAAATTATCCTCGGAGAGAATTATTGCTTCCAGATCCGATAACAAATTTACAAGTAAATTGTGACCAGAGTTTGTTAGCTATTGCTGTGACCAAAGGAGGCTGTTCTCATGCTCTCATTTATGATGTAACATCATTTTATGGAAAGGTATGATACAAAATAATTTATAAATTTGAATTTTATTTTTATTGAAATAGTTTGTTTACATGTGTCTTCATGCATATACTGATCATATGAATTGGGATCGAACAAACCTGTGTAATGGTTATAACGTGTACATTTCCATTGTAGACTATCAATCTTGTAAAAGAAGTCAGATTGTCTACAAGCCCTGATGCTCATTTATTGGAATTATCATGGAACCCAGGAATTGCCAATGTTCTTGCCTGTTGTCATTCAAATGGGACTCTTGGTGTGTATGAATTTAAAAATGGAGGTGTTGATATTAACACCCTTCCTCCTGAGGCCCAGGCAACGTGAGTTTCTTTAAATTCTGTAGTATCATATTTTATTGTAGTTGGTATTGATATACACATTGAAACCAATATTGCATCCATTATGGCATAACATTTTTTTTATTTCTTCTTCTCAGATGTTTCTCATGGAGCCCTAAAGGAAAGCAACTAGTTGTAGGATCTTTGAATGGATCTCTAACCCAGTACAAGCCAGATTTGAAAGCTGTTAAAAATATTCCACCACCAACTATTTTTGAAAACCTCGCTTCGGTTGTAAATGTGCTTTGGATTTCCAATTACCAGTTTGCTGCTGTGTATAGAGATTCAATTAATGAATTAGAAAGACCATCTTTGATAATAGTCAATGCTCCTAAGACAGGAGGTTTCACTTTTGTAAATTATGAAGATATCTGTTACAGCTCAGGGGAATTAAGAAAGCCTCAGTTTTATCTCCTTCATCAACCAAACTGGTAAATATGCTCTTTAAATTTATAGAGCTTTAAATTATGGTGTGTCTATTTTGTTGCACATAGTGCAATGCATAGTGACAATTTTTGTGGGAAAGCGTATATTATTTAATTTAGATTGCAATTTATACTAAACCATTTCTGTGTTTTGAGTCAAGAGCTCCATTGAAAGGTTTTGAAAGCAATTTCGTATTTTGTAGGAATGTTCTTGTTGTGGGTTCAGCTAATAGTATGGAAGTTGGTGTTCTGGGTTTGACTGCTGACCAGTTAACCTGGGAGCAGTGGTTACAAGAAGATGCTTCACGTGCTGAACTTCCTCTTACAGCATCCAAAGAAGAGACCTTTCCTCTAGGCATTGGATTGGACACAAGCACTCAAAAGCAGTTGCCTTGGGGTGAGTTTTCAAAGGAACAATAAGTCAAGAAACGAACCACTGCTAATCCACCGATATTGTTATTAACGAAGATAGAGGTCTTAACTCTCGTGCTTATCTTTTGTAGTCCTATGTCGAGTGGGGCTTAGGAAAATTGGTTTCCCACTCTGCTGTCAAGTCTCACACACATTTACTTTTCATTATTTTCTTGGCTTTGAAGATGTGCAAAGTCCAACAGATGTGAGCATCTATGGAGTAAACTGTTGTGTGTTCAGTGTTATGTAATTTCAGAGTTTTGATGTTTTATTAGGCTATTAATTGGTTGAAGTTATGTTGCTCTAAACGAAATAGATGCCTTCCACATCTAGTTATGATAGTTTAGTTGCTACAATGCTGGAATGGCAAGCAGGAACCGTTGCTCAATTCTCGGCTCCTTCAGGAGATGTTTTGAGCACAAATAGTGGCATCCGCTAGGGAATATTTTAAGTGCAAACAATACAAAGGAGTATTATGTTTATTGTTGTGTTGTTTCAGTTTGTTAGATGGTTTATTAGACTTTTATCTCGTTTGAGGTGTGGAGAAGGGAATCCTAATCTCTTCTTGTGTACCCCAAAACTTTGAAACTACTAATGTGTCGCAACCACGCTACAGTGGCATCAGTGAGATTTAAATAAAGAGCTGATAGGAATGTAGGGCTCAAGGAGTTAGGTGTACAAAGATTTTTAAGTTTAGGAAATCTGAAAAACATATGAAACAAATATAATTGACTTTGATCAATCACAATGGAAATACATTTTCTTAAAGTTTGTATTTGTAATATTGCATTGTATAATGTAGGGAAACAATGGATTAGTTTGAATCAGAAATGCTACAGGAATAGTATTTTGTTTGTAGAAAGTTGAGAATTTTCTTTCTTTGTGTCCCAATCTGCACCATCCTGAACAGCATATTTGTAGATGAACTATAGTGTAGATGTTTTGTTAATTTCATTGAATTTTGTCTATGTGCAGGTGAGAACCAGTTCCTGCCTCCTATGCCTGTATTGACACTTTTGTCACATAGAGGGGTTCTCTGCCTTTTCTACGTAATCAACACACTTCCTAATGCTCCTGTAGTGTGTACACCTCCAGAAAAACTTCCTGAAGAGAGCCTTTTAGTACATTTTGTAACAACAGCAGTGAATAATGAACAAAATTCTACTTTCCAAGAACCTGTCAGTTCTCAGCAAGATATTAGTACCCCACAGCCCACCAAACCTGCGGAATGGAGTACCCCATCAGGTGTTGTGGATGTGAATCGGATGGGTCTGCGTGTCAATCTTGCAGAAAGGTAATTCAGTTGATATTTCCATTACCTGTGCCATAGCTGTACAACAAGAATTTCTCTCTAAGAGAGTTGTAAATCTTGAAAGACTTCTTCATTTGGATCTGCCATCAAAATTATTTCTATGTGTATGTGAGGTGGGATAGTACTGCATATATATTATATATATCTTCAATCCACAACTATATGTTCAAGAACTCATCATTCATCTCATCATACCACTGAGTATACTCATACCATTGACCATATCACAAATGCCACAGAAAAATTTACTCCTTCTCATCCATTTCCATATTTTCATAGACATATTAAATAAGATAATATTTATTATTGCTGCTTTACTATCTTAACGTAGATACAAATTTTATTTATTTTATTTTTTAATACTTCGGTTTTTCTGTTTTGGCTCTGTAGGGTACCACACTACTCTGCAATTGGCTAGCTTTAGCATGAACCCAGAGCATTAATTTTTCCCTTGATAAAAATTGTGCAACTTTCCTGTATGCGTACAATTAAATAAAAATGTATTTGTATGTAAAATAAAGTATAGAAATGGCATATGTGTAATTAATGATTGTCTTGTTTTATAGGTTTGAGAACATTTCTCCCCAACACCAGGGTGTGGTGAAATCTTTTTCATTTGCTCCAAATGAACCTCCTAAAATTCCTGTAGATTCTTCAACATCAGACTTATCTGCATCACTCAAAGTTAATGCCAAACCTGCGTCCATACCAGGCACAGGATCTTTGTTTCCTGGATTGGGTACTCAACAACCATTCAGTATATCAAAATCTAATGAAAACAGTTCTGCCACCAGTACTGTAGCAACACCTCAAGGCAACACAACATTTAATTTTACTGTTCCTGCCGCAACTTCAACTCCTAATTTGGTGAGATTTTTAATTCCATTTCCTCTATTCTAAAAATAAATGTTATTGTATTTTGAACAGATAATGGTATTTGAAATTTTACAGTTTAATATCTATAGCCCGAGGTGCACTCAAAGTGTGTGGTTCATGGTCTTCATTCTCCTCCAAGCAGATTGAGATATACAGTTTTTATTGATTTTGTAGTAACAAAAGTCATTCAAGAACTCAATTGAATGTTTTATAAACTATAAATCAACATACTTAAATAAACTGCAGTGAGTGTCAGCAAAATTACAATTTAGTATATTTTATTTTCAGCACGGAGTCAAACTGCCTCAGACTCAACAGTTAAATCAGCCTGCGTTATCTCAAAAACAGGACTCCACAACATTAAGTGTGCAGCAGCTACCCCAACAGCAGATTGTGCGACCACCTTTCTATCCCTCTTCATCGCAACAACAGCAGCTACCTCCATCTCAGCAGTCACCACAGCTTGCTCAAATGCTGCTACTGCCACAGCATCTGCAGTTACCTCAGCAATCGCAACCACAACCTCTGCAGCAAACATTGTCTCAAGGGCAGCAGCTAATCCAACAGCGCCCTGCACTTCAAAAACATATTCAACAAACTGAGAATTCATTATCTGCTTCTAAACCTCTAACAAATTTATTTGGCAATCTTGGAGACATTAAAGCATTGTCTAACGT